GATGAAAATACCCTTTAGAAAAGCAAGGTTACGTGAAATTCAATGGAAACGTGAGGCCTACTCATAATATTATGCAAAAATTCAACTACCAATCCTTCATCGCCTTAAACGAATTCGAGTGAAAACATCTCCGTTATCAAAGTTACATGCTGACATAGACGATTGATGTTAGTAATTTGAGGATCAAAACAATTACTTCGAGGTTTTCTCTACCACCCATTTGCATCCCCCATTCAATTTAGCAAAAAGGCATTATTAATTTTAGTGTTTTAAAGCATTGTATCGCGAAGTAGGTTAAATCAATTATTTATGTATGTTGTCCCTTATTTTTTATCTATATCGCCAAATTCTCAAGCATACTGGGTATTTTAAATTCGCCAATTTTTATGAAGTATGCTTCTGGACTAAAAATGAAATTCCTTTAGCACCTGATAATACAGGACAATTGTATCCATGATTGTTATTCACACCGATCAAAGCCGCTTTTATTAGTTTAGGAATAGTAACCCAGAGTGATTTTAAGTGCGCATCCACTAGCACATTTGGCGTTTTCAATAAATAGTACGAATCTATAAAACATATTATTTACTGTAAAGTGTTGTACTGACGACAATGTCGAAGTGGCTTTAGTTTATGTACGCTTCTTGAAATGATTAGCATTCAATTTTTCCGCACTATCAATTGACACCCACAACCCATAGATAAACTAATAAAGTACACGATGCTCATCAGTGAGTGTGTTTTGGGCACTATATCATAGTGACTCTTTATTATCTTTATGATTTGTATATAAATAAATGCTGTTATTCGACAGTGTAACTCTGCTTGTCATGGTTGAATGATTTCATTATCTTGAATAAAGTTGTATTTAACCCACGATATCTTAGTATTTATTTCACATTCATCGTCACTGCTCCTTATTTTAATTTGAGTACATATTTAATTGTCCAGAAATACATTTGATCAATTGGAATTGTTCTTAAAATCAATAAGTTATTATCACATATAATTCGAATGGAATTTTTTTATACGATTGTCACTAATAAATTTCCTACAGCTACTATGCGACCACTTTTGCAGGCCTCGCTATTAGACTTACAAATTATTAAGGCCCTTTGAAAAAGGTAAAAACATGTCAACAGGCTTGAAACAAATAATAGGTTGAACAGGTAATAACCGTTAGCAATGTACAAATAAATGAACCCTTTTTCATAAGTAGAGATTAACAAAAATCATGCTTAAGTAACACAAACATAGCATTTATAGAGTTATAATTGTTTAACTTAACAGGCGGGCATGTCACTAAATTGAAAATATTCATCAACCATTGCATCAAAATTGATCAATGCTTCAATCAGGGCAGTGATAAAGCCAAGCATATTTGAAAATACAGGAACCCGATCACTCGGAAGTGGCATTGTCCTATCTTCTTCCGGTTTGATTCTTGCAAATGTGATTTCCTTTGCAAGTCTTTCATTCTTCACGGCCGGATCAAAATCATACTCTGGGTCAGTATAAAAGGACGCTTCACCAGCCACATGTCCCAAACTGATCAAGTGAGAAAGCAGGGCTTTTTTAATCAAGCGTTGCTTCGTAATTTCGTAGGAACTGTGAATTTGTAAGAGATACGTCAAAAAGCAGCGTCGAATATTGACTAAGAACTTGCAAAACTGATCAATTAGAGATAAGAACCTTATGAGTGGAAGGAGGCGAATACCGGAAGGATCCAGTGATGAACCTTTTCGTGAATTCAAATGAGAAAGAAGCTCACGCGCTTCATGGAGTGAATGAACACCATTAATTAGCAGGCGATAAAGTTTGACCTTTTGGCTACTATTTACATCATTTGAACAGTCAATTTCTTCAGCAAGCCTTTTGACATTCGGCTCCTCGGTTTCTAGGGTCACAGTCAATTGTCTGACATAGACGAGAAAATCTGCTATCATGTAATCAAAAGCCGCTGCCTGGTCACGA